GTCCTTATCAGAGGCAGTGTAGATTGAGGGCCATCACCCACACTCTGTTGCCATGGTGAAGGCGGACAGAGGCCAGGTTGAGTGGCAGCTCGTCTCAGCACTCGTCCTCCTTCATGCTTTTTAATTTTCCAGTTTGTGTTCACACTGAGTCACTGACACGGACTGTAACTGATCACCTGTCTGTACTGCATGTCAGGAGTCTGCAGCATGTTTCTGTCATAAAAAATGCAGTTGCCAGCGACTGCACTGAATCGTTGGCATTGGCCCAGATCTAGTTGCCAAGGGCAACCAGTCCAGAGCTGCGTCAGTGCCTACCAGGGTTTGTTGTACAGGTACGGCCCTAAGTCTTTATTTAGTTTAACGGCACAACCAGAATCTGCTCAGTTTATCTGAACCCAAAATACCACAAGAATCACAGCCACAGTGGGGGTCATCACAATGGGCGGGATTCAAATAGCCTGCCTTTTATTTAGCAGAAAGGAGCGTGTTGACCTGCAGAATTAGTCAGTGCGCATGCATTATGAATTCAGATTTTAACATTAAATATACATGGGTGTTGCCAGTTTGATGGAGAATATGTGTACGGTGGTTTTGTGCTGACAGTAGAAAAGCAATGTCTTCTGGCACACGCGGTGCCCGTCAGTCAGAACGCCACGTCTCAGATTCATGGCCTGCATATGCAGAAGCTTCACATCTGCACAGATGTGATGGAACAAGTGCAGCACAGTGATTCTGTTGGTCTCTTCAGAATAAATGACAAACGACATCAGTGATAACTGACATCAGTGGCTTCAGACAGGAATTAGCAGCATTATTGCTTTATTATTACTCAGCCACATGGATCATGTTGATGCATGGATAGAAATTCAATGTAATCTGACCATGTTATATCTAAACATGGGCAGCACCTCATCAGTCAGTGTGCTAACATTTTATTGAAAATAGGAAGTTCAGAAGTATTCACACCGTGTGTGTGAAAGTCCTGCGAGCTTCACTGCAGCCAGGTCAGACTGCACAGGCCAACCTTAGCCTCTGTGCTTCAGTGTGTTAGTGAGTCCCAGTACAGCTTATAGTCCCAGTACAGCTTATAGTCCCAGTATAAGTGTCATGGTGAAGACTTCCCTCCCTCCTCTCCTGTGCCAGTGTTTCAAAGGTGCTTATCACTAATCCTTATTTGTTACAAAGTGATAAAATGATACACTGACTGTTAGCGTCTACATTCCTGTTGCATATCAAAGGGTGGGAGCTTGTGTGTGAGGGGGGCAGAGGGCGGGACCTCATATGTCCACACCCACTACAGCACACATGTGGGTTGCAAATACATCTCCTGTGTCTGGTCCTTTGGTGTTTGTTTGACAGACACTCTGTGCGCTGACACGGGTCGGTCACAAAGTAACAGCACTGCTGATCACACATATTCGAACACGTGGTTTTCAGGGGTCATAATTCTGTGTGCTTGTCTTATTTCCACAGATTGGGCAGCTGGTGTTCAAGGGCATGAAGCGCCTGAACAGGATTCAGTCCATAGTGTTCGAGACGGCCTACAACACCAATGAGAACCTCCTGATCTGTGCTCCAACCGGTGCTGGCAAGACCAACATCGCCATGCTGACAGTTCTCCATGAAATCCGTCAGCACTTGCAGCCCGGTGGCGTCATTAAGAAAGATGAATTCAAGGTGCGATGCACACATCAGCTACACTTATTAGTGCTGTTTATGCTGAAACGGCTGTAGTGTACTGATCTGTCAAGGAAAGATGTCTTTGTGATAACTGCTTCCTGTTTGTAGTGTCACTCCGGCTCGGAGCCTTTGAACACGAGTCCTGGAGATTCAGTTTGCTCCCTGGTGAAGTTTCACACAAGCCCTGCAGGGATTCAGATCACTCGCTGAGATTTCAGGCAGGGAGTTAATAGGACTCCTCTGATAGGTTGAAGTCAAGGGGAGCTGGAGTCATGAGACTTCCTTTAAGATGCTTAGTTTGTTCGGTTGATTTGAACAGTTTGCGTGTTGTTTCACTCCAGTAATGACGTTTCCCTGGATTGTCTTGTGAGTCTGAAAGGATCTACAGCACTGATGATGCTAAATACTAAAGCAGTCAGTGTAACGGTACCATCTCATGCTGTCACTGCTGAGAAGGAAACGAGCGACAAGCATCAACAGACAGGAAGTGTAAGGGGAGAGCGGTGGGCTGCTGGCACCGCCCACCAAACCATTACTCTGATAGGTACCAAAGCAGGTTCAGGGCTGTAGTTCTGACTTTGGGTCGAGTGTCCCCTTAACTCTTGTGAGAAGTGTACGTTATTACAATCAGCCAATAGCATTTCAGGGATGGAAAACTGCAGCACTTTGAGTTTCCTGCCTACAGCTGTTACAGTTCACATCTACTGAGGGACTAAGTGTAACTTTGCCACATGTGACAGAGATGTGATGTTTCATAAAACAGCCTTTGTATTAAAGGTTGATGCTAAATGCCTTTTAAACATGTTCATTCACAGAAATGAGCCTGCATTTAATGTGGGCGGAGCTAATCGGCCTGCATGTTCACACACCCGACACGTTTATGTGTATGAATGCGTCTGTGCTGAGCAAAGACAACGTAGTCTCTGCTGCTTTCTTCAGAGGCTGAAGCTGAGCCGATGACTGAGTGATGATTTGTTATCAAATTTGATTGGTGAATAATGATGACCTCATTATTATGAGCCCACCTGAGCAAACAATAGTGTCCCCAGAGAAAAGCTAAAAATCACGACGGGAATTAGATGCAGTGATCAGCTGTTCATGAATGTGTGCGCTGTAAAGCCACGCGGCGCTCGTCCACCCAGTCTCTGTAGTTCATCTGTCAGTGCTGGGTTAGAAAAGCAGAAGATCGCGGTGGTCAAAATGACAAATAGCAACAGTAGGAAACAGACTCTGAAACACTGGCAGTGCTGACAGCTTGGTCTAAAAGCACTGGTCTTAAACCCAGTGTCAGATCCACACACATCAATAACGCAGACAGTCTTTGTTCTGTGTGTAAAAGCTCGTACACTGACAAACACCAGCAGTGACAAAAGCTGCTTTTCATACATCACCATTACATTTTATCCATGCGAGCGCTGTGACATTTCACAATAAACTGATTTGTGCTGGTAGCTGGGGAACAAATGATGCTGCCCCTCTTTGCTCATTTATCACCACAGTGTCCTTTCAGCCCCGTCTACAACCTTGCTCCACTCTCTCTCCTCCACTCACATTCATTTCCACGCCGCTCTCTCTGTAGATCGTATATGTGGCTCCCATGAAAGCCTTGGCGGCTGAGATGACGAACTACTTTGGTAAGCGGCTGGAGCCACTGGGCATCACTGTGAAAGAACTCACTGGAGACATGCAGCTTACCAAAGGAGAGATCCTTCGAACACAGGTACACACACACACACACACACACACACACACACACACACACACACACACACACACACACACACACACACACAGCTCACCACACAAAACAAGCTAACTCTGCCTGCTACCCTTACACGTCCTCTAGCACTCCAGCTGGATCGGGTTAGGACATCGTCCTTAGAGTAAATCTGTACACACTGAGCTTATTACTCACCTGTAAGTCTGATCATCATCACATGTGCAGGTCATGGGTGAAAGCACGCTGTGTAACAGAGCACAGTGAGCGTTCATATCTGTTATTGTTATGGTCACTGTGTGTGTGTGTGTATGTGTGTGTGTGTGTGTATGTGTGTGTGTGTGTGTATGTGTGTGTGTGTGTGTGTGTGTGTGTGTGTGTGAGACAAAGTCTGACATTGAAAGGACTTTAATAGGTGGCTCATACACACGTGTAACAATGTTACACTGACGGTCCAGGTTCAGGGCTGCACTGTGGATTTAGGTTGAGGGGTGTTGGGTGAACCCTGTGCTGTAAAGTCAGGCTGTACTCAGACACACTCTCCTGCTGATGGTGGGATATGTAGGCAGAACAGATCTAAAACAAGAACATTGGTCCAGTAACACTCTGCGTGTCAAATAAATAAATAAGACTCGTTTTTAATTTGGTCAAATGTTGCTTCAAGATCATCTCCTCGTGCACCTCTGTCGGCGTGCACGTTACACAGTCCTGCTCTGTCGCTGTGCTTTTGCCTCTCGTATAAAGGTGTTCTCATTTACTCATTTTGGAGACACATAGGTGATGTGGGGAGGCAGATCTGGTGAATAATGCAGGTGCTGAGTAGTGAAAATGCTGAGGGTGGTTATCCTCATCAGGGTCACAGGGGGCTGGATCTGTCCCGGGCAGCGGTCAGCAGTCACGGCCAGCACACAGACACACACACACATGTGAACTTGCATTCACACCTCTGGGCAATATGAACCCATTCAGTATCCTAACCCCACTAACTTTGGATTATGGGAGGAAGCTGGAGTATAGTCTGATCAGGCAAAGCATCATGACTACCTGCTAAATCGTGCTAAGCTGTGAGGCGGGGCTTCCACAGATCAGGCGTGTCTGTCCAGCACAGGAGGCCAAGTCAAAGCCAGCTTGTTGTTGTGCTCCTCAAAGCGTTCCTGAACCGTCTTTGCTTTGTGGCAGGAAGCTTAATCCTTCAGTGTGCTGAGAGAGGCCCCAGCATCAGGGAGTGCAGGGGGTTAGTGGTTTGCTACAGAGACGGTGAACCCATGCTGTCATGCTAAACTGCTAGCAAGTTTCCCAGTGAGCTTAAGCTACACTGATGCTATTCTATGTTTTTCATGATTCTAGTTAACCCTGTTGCTTGTTCTACCTCACCACCTGTATTTAGACCACACTCTGTGTGAATACAGATGCAATGTAGCAAGAAAGCCAGAGATGAGTCTGTGTCACAGCATTTACAAGTGTTGAAGCCAAATGCTTTGTTATTGTGCAGCGTACGTCAGCCTGCTCGCCTGTGTTCAGCCGGTCTGTGCACCACCACGCTGTGCTGTTAGTGAACGAGCAGCAGACAGCAGGGTGCACTGTCTGTTTAAATACAAGTAAGTTTAATAAGTGAAATGCTGGTGGCATTTTAATTGTAATGTTTCTTTAGGTTAAAGAGGATGAAGCCAAAGAAAAGATGATGATGAGAGAGTTTAGTCCTGTGGCTGTGAGAGACGTCGAGGCTGTTGGACCTGAACGACACTTGGAGCGGGAACACTGGGAAAACCTGCATATCTGTTAAATCCAAAGGAGTTGGATTTAACAGATCGCACAGCTCAGATTTACCCTTCATAAGTCTCATGGGACTTATGAGCACAAAGTGTGTGTGTGTGTCTGAAATGAGGCCAATTCCAGCTAATCTGAAGGTGTTTTAAAACTGCATTTCCATCAGGTCATATGATGAGATTACACAAAGAGAATGATTAGTCAGATTCAGAGCAGCTCTGCAGCACTGCTTCACTTTGAGCTCTCTCTAATGCCTCCGTTTCACCGGCTTATTTGTCGTGCATTTGCACAAAGTGTTGAGTGCAGAGCTGAATCCACGGTTAGTGGGCCCGAGTGATGTCATGCTCTGTAACCTTGGTTTGTTGCGTCTCCCCTCGGTCCCATCGCTCCTTTCATCGCACACCTTTGATGTTGATAGCAGAGTGGGCTTTCTGCCGGGACAGTGTAAGGACAGGAAGCAAATACTTCTAAGAACTTGTGCTTTATGAAACTTGCATGTTGTGTCCTTTGACCTTTATCGGGATCATTACACAACCATCGTCAAAAGCAGCACATCAGGTAAAAGAAGGAAAATCACCACTGTCGTACTGGATCAGGATGTCCTGGATCTCCTTCTCAGAGGCCTCATCCACATCCTTCTGGTAGTATGCAAGCAGGGCTGTGGACATGGCTGGTGGATGGTGTAGATCTGTGCGGTGCCACGCTCCGCAACACTGGCTCCAGAAGCTTGTTCTGGAGCGTAGCAGGCTCCACCCTCTCCTCAGGTCTGCCATTCACCTTGATCAGGACGTCCCCCTCCTGCACTGGGAAACTGCTGTGGTGGGTTTTACGTCCAAACACCTGGACGGACTCCAGAGGACCGTCAGCTGGCATGTTTCTGAAGCACACAAAGACACCACTTAGTTTCTGATTCTGCCAGGAGGAGGGAAACGTGCACCGATGAACCTGCAAGAGAGGGAACCAGTGCATGGTGGAAAGCCAGCCTCACCGCTCCTGAGGGACGACTCGGTGCCCTCGCGCCTGCAGCAATATCACGTATTATTGTGAGTATCAGTGCCTGGATGTCTCTGCGACCTCACGGGTCAGAAACGTTCTTTGAAAGTGAAAGTGAAGGATGCATTTCATGAGTTTGTGAAAGGATGAATCACATTTGTCTCCCTCACTGTGCTTCTTACACAAAGTGTAATCCACACCTGAAAACAAAGCAAACCCCAGAGTTGTGACTCAGAGGGAAAAGCGTAGCTGCTTTGGATTGGCGTGGCTTCATATAAAAACATGACAGTGTAATGATTGTAGGATACGAGCACTCTGCTGCTCTTCTCTACTGGTCACTTTCCTTTTTATTTTATTCCTCCCACTCGTCAAATCCAGCGTCATCCACTCACTAAGCAGCAGGAGAGAGCAGCAGTTCCCACTGAAATGATTTTCCACATCAGAGTGTAACGACGTGCGCGCTCGCACAGACTCGTGCACACAGAGTGGAGCTTTGAGAAGGTTCTCATTACAGTTGGCCTTGACAGGCTGTTAGTTGTTAACATATCACAATGTAGTGAACGTTTTTCTCTAACCGACCCACTCCATCGTCCACCCGCCCACCTCAACCTCCTACGTGCTCCTCTCCCTGTAACGGCAGAGTTACTATGGAAACAGAAAGAGTTTTGCCATGTGGAAGCCAGCGTGGTTTGGACGGCATGCGGGGACGTCCGGGCACCTTTGCTCTGTCCAGAGGGGAAACATGAGTTAATGACAGTGAGGAAGGAGCAGCAACGCAGCTTTCTGAAACAGCAGCGAGTGTGAGAATGAGTCCGTGTTTCCTGGTCGAGGGAAAAAGCCAAACAGGCTCCATGAACTGGGCTCAAACAAGAACAAACTGCAGGTCGGTGAAACTGTAAAGACAGAGCCCATCAAAGCAGCTGAAGAAAGATCAAGTCATTACTGAAATGCCGTGCTGGACTGAGTCACGGCACTTACTGTAACCATCAGTCAAGTGATCGTCGCTTGTCTGATGCTCTCTCAGCGATGTCAGTAATTAGTATTTAAGTGCTGAGAGTTGGCGAGATGTGTCGTGGCGTTGCTGCACGTGTCCGTGCTAACCTTAGCTCGCACCAGCGAGCAACAATCTTCCTCCCACTCAGGCAGCGACCTGCAGGGATGCACGGGGATGTGCATGTAGCTGCAGCTGCCCTTCCTGCAGATTAAAACTCCAGCTATTATCTGTTTAAGTACATGTTTGTGGTAGTCAGAGACGGTAACGAGTAAAGTAAGGGATTACTATTGCAAAAACGGTAATTAGATTACCGTTACTTTCCCGTAGGAACGCTGCGTTACTGCGTTACTAAAACCGTGATTTTTTTGCGAGA